ATATTGGCTCACCGCAGACTCCACCTCTCGGATTCAAGCAATTCTCCTGCCTCAGCCTCTCAAGTAGCTGGGATTACAGGCATGTGCCACCATGACCAGCTAATTTTGTATTTTTAGTAGAGACAGGATTTCTCCATGTTGGTCAGGCTGGTGTTGAACTCCCAACTTCAGATGATCCGCCCGCTTTGGCCTCCCAAAGTGCTGGGATTATAGGCATGAGCCACTACGGCTGGCCTAATTTCACTTTTTCAAGTAATTTATATTATATTCTACAAAAGTATCAGTCTATGACAGATTGAGATTTTTAAAGTTGGCCCTTCATCACAGATAATTTTACAAGCATTAGTTTAGACAATTCAAAGGGCAGCAGTATAAAAAAAGAATATCTAAACTAAATGAAGAAAGATTGAAAGCAGACCAGTAAGAGGGTGACACAAATTCCAGATGTGAGATCATTGAACCTTGGCATGAAATTTGATAAAGGACACATAATAGCTATGTGTGTTCACATCATGGACACAGATACATATATGCATGCATTTATTGTTATTAGATTTATTTATCCTTGGAAGCAAGATCAATCTAGGGTCTCTCTCTCTCTCTCTCTCTTTTTTTTTTTTTTTGTTGAGATGAAGTCTTGCTCTGTCACCCAGGCTGGAGTGCAGTGGCACAATCTCCGCTTACTGCAACGTCTGCCTCCTGGGTTCAAGTGATTCTCCTGCTTCAGCCTCCTGAAAAGCTAGAATTATAGGCATATGCCACCACACTCAGCTGATTTTTTTGTAATTTTAGTAGAGACAGGGTTTTACCATGTTGGCCAGGCTAGTCACTAACTCTAGTCTAACTCTATCTTCTCAAAAAAGCCTGAGTCTTTTCCAGCATCCCAGGGACTTTTCTTTCCAACAACAGGCTTTGAAGAATGAAGAATCTTGAATTTTTCCATAGAGGCCAAATCCCTATTGCCTTACATATCCCCATTCACTTTGGGTTGCTAATCTTTCTGATGTGAGGACTAGGTTTTTTTTGGAGGTACTATAAATGCTTTTTAGTAACTTTTTGGAATCCCAGTCTGCTCTCTTTGCTAAGCCTCGGACACCTCTGGCTAGTTCAGCCCGCATTGGCTCTGAAGATTCCTGAGTCAGCTTTTTGTCCTCTCTTTCCCTCTCATGCCATATTCATACAACAAAAAGTTCTGTCAGCTCCACCTTCAAAATATATCTGTGCCAAAACACTTCTGACTACTTCCATAAATATCACTGGCCTGGAACTACTGCAATAGCTTTTTACTATTCTGTTTCCACTCCTGCCCATCTGCATCCTGTTCTACACATATCATAAATGAGATCATGCCATTTTCCTGCACATCATACTCTTATGTTTACCATCACATCTGAGATAAAATCCAAAGTCCTTACAAAGGAAAAAAGAGCCACATGATTTACCTACCTGTCTACTTCATCTCCTATCACACTCTCCCTCATTTACTTTGATTCTTCCACCCTTGCCTGTTGGCAGTTCCTTGAACATAATGAAGTTCATTCCTACTTCAGGGTCCTTACAGTTTCTTTCCTTGTCCTAGAATGCTTTTTCCCCATATGGTTCACTCCCCATTATTTGGGCCTTTGTTCATGCAAATATTTTAAATTGCATAATTCCCTAAGCTAGAATAGGCAAACTACAACCAACAGGTCAAATCTGGCCCACTGCCTACGTTGTAAGTAAAGTTTTATCGGATTACATTTATGACCATTTATATGTTGTCTGTAGCTTTGCTTTCACTACAAGGGCAGAGTTAAGTAGCTGCAGCAAAGACCACACACGTGCAAAGCCTAAAATATTTACTCGTCAAACCTTTACAGAAAAAGTGCCAGCTCCTGTTGTAAAGCAACAGCCTAATTTATAAGCCTTGCAGAAAAGGAGAATATATGGATCTACAAAATAAGCAAAGACTTCGAAATAAAAAGTATGGAATATATTTTACAAAGGTCTGACCGCAGTTACCATAGAAAAACAATTTCTCTGTATAGAGGGAGAGTATATGGATAAATAATACATTATTAATAAATAGTCAAATACTAAATAAATCTCATTTGGTTTTCTTGATGTAAAATTACACCAAAAATTTAAAAATCAGTTTGCACTTTAAAAGAGTGCAAGAAGTGAAGTTTGGCTTTACAGAGTAAACAGGAAGAACCTGTGTCATACCAAGGCAGATACAATTTGCTGAACAGAGTAACACAGAGGAGGGAACTTCACAGAAACTTTTTTTTCTTTTTGAGACAGAGTCTCGCTTCATCGCCAGGCGCCAGGCTGGAGTGCAGTGGCGCAATCTTGGCTCACTGCAACCTCCGCCTCCCGGGTTCAAGCAATTCTTCTGCCTTAGCCTCCCAAGTAGCTGGGACTACAGGCACGTGCCACCATGCCCAGCTAACTTTTATATTTTTAGTAGAGACGGGGTTTCACCATGTTGGCCAGGATGGTCTCGATCTCTTGACCTCGTGATCCACCCGCCTCAGCCTCCCAAAGTGCTGGGATTACAGGCGTGAGCCACTGCGCCTGGCCTATAGAAACTTTTGAACATCTACAAAGGGATTCTCTCAAGGCTGTGATCTGCACATATATGCAGTGAAACTCGTCAAGGCCAGAGAAAGAACCCCCAGAAATAAGTAGACTGAACAATTTCTGGAGCTCACACAAAGCTGGAAATCGTTTTCAATCTTGCCAATCAGAATGGAAAAATTTCATAAAATTACTAATTATTACTCATAGAGTAATCAAAAGGGTTATTACCTTAGAAAATAGGCTAAGTTAGCCCTAGATTAAAGGCTGTTCTTGAGCCACTCTAACAAGGCTTTATTTAAGCCTCAAAAGGAACAAAATTATTTCATACAATGTTAACTGCATGCCAGAGTTAAATTCAATAGAACTGAAAGAACTACAACAAAATCTAGCAAATATAAATTCACCAATATAAGTGAATTCATTAGTATGAACAATATGAAATTCATCATATTTTACACCCAGTAAAACATTACTAACCAGAAAAGACAAATCTCCAGGGCAGCAAAATTTCAAATAATTTACATGAATACTCTATCCTCAGGTAAGGGGAGTATAACCACTCACTCCTTAAGTATGGGCTGTGCACAGTGACTGCCTTCCAAAGTATATAAGTATAGAAGGAGAAAAAAAGAGTAACTTTACAGTGTAGAAACCTAGCAGACACTTCCTCAGCCAGATGATTAAAGTCACCATCAACAGTCATAAATCATGTTGACAGTATGTACACTTAATATGATGTGATGACAATGGCACTTTAATGCTACTGTCTTCCTCTCCCAACTCATAACCAAAATTTTATGAGGAAAACATCAAAAAATTGAAGTAGTGCAGCATCCTTACAAAATATATGACTAGTACTCCTCAAAACTGTCTGAGTCATAAAAAAATAAGACAAGTCTGAGAAACTGTCACAGCCAAGAAAATGACAACTAAGTGTAATGTGACATCTTAGATGGCAACCTGAAACAGAAAAACGACATTAGATAAAAACTAAGAAAATCAAAAGGAACTAAGGATTTTAGTTAATAATGTATCAATTTGGTTCATTTGTTGTAAAAAATGTTAAATGTAAGATGTTAATAATAGAAAAAACTGATGGGGTATATAAAAACTCTGTAATATCTTTTCAGCTTTTCTGTAAAATTAAAAAATCTAAAAGTGTCCTAAAAAATAAAACCCACTAAAAAGAAAAAAATTACTAGCCAGGAAAAGCAGCAGGAAAAATATGAACCTCAGTCAGGAGAACAATCAAACAATAAAATCAGGCCCAGAAATGACAATGATGATAGAGTTCACAGACAAGGACATTAAAATAGATGTCTTCTACTTTTTCAAGAATGTAGAGGAAAGCATGAATATGGTGAGAAGAGATATGCAAGATATAAAAAGAGTCAAATGAAACTTCTAGAAAGGAAATGAAATGTATATAAAATGAAAATATCTTGAATAATATTAACAGAAGATTAGACCATGCAGAAGAAAAGATGAGACAATTTGAATAACAATAGAAACCATTTTAAATGAAGTGTGAGGGAAAAAAAGGCTAAAAAAAATACTGTGACTGGCCTGAGACAACTTAACAATATCAAGTTGTCTAAAACATGTAAAATTAGACTCTGAGAAGGAGAGGAGAAAAGAGGTTGGTAAAAAAAGTATTTGGAAAAATACCAGCTGACATTATTCCAAATTTGATGAAAACTATAAACCCTTATATCCAAGAAGCTCTGTGAAGCACAAACAGAATAAATACAAAGAAATTCACACCAAGACCCTGTATAATCAAATTGATGGAATCAAGTGACAAAAAGCTAATCTTAAAATTAGCCAAAGAGGCCAGGCACAGTGGCTCATGCCTCTTATCCCAGCACTTCAGGAGGCCAAGGTGGGTGAGTAGCTTGAGGTCAGGAGTTTGAGACCAGCCTGGCCAACATAGTGAAACTCTATCTCTACTAAAAATAATAAAAATTAAAAAAAAAAAATTAGCCAGGTGTGGTGGTGCATGCCTGTAATCCTAGCTACTCAGGAGACTGAGTGGGGAGGATTGCTTGAACACAGTAGGCAGAGGTTGCAGTGAGCCAAGATCACACCACTGCACACTCCAGCCTGGGCGACAGAATGAGACTCTGTTTCAAAACAAAACAAAACAAAACAAAAAAACAAGAAGAAGATGAAAAGGAAAACTAAAGGGCGTTCAATCAAAAGAAGGAAGGTATAGAGAAAAAAGGAACAAAAGCCAGATGATATGGTTAAAAAACAAATAACCAAACTGGTCGATTTAAGCCCAGACATATTAATAACACTAAATGTAAATAGTCAAAACACTTCAATTAAAAGACATAGATTGTCAGATTAAATAAAAAAGCAAGACTAAACTATATGCCAGCCACATAAAACATACCTAAAATATAAAAACATTAATAAGTTAAAAGTAAGATGATGAGAAAAAATGTACTATGCAAACAGATAATTTTGTTTGATTTAAAAAACTAAGATTTTTAAAAAAACAAATCTAAAGAAAAACAGTGACAATATTGATATTAGACAAAATAGACTTCAGGAAAGGGAATAGTAACAGGGATAAAGATGAACATTTTATAATTTTAGTGAGATTGAGTCATCAAAAGATCATAACAATCTTAAGAGTGTATTCACCTTAATAATAGAGCTGAAAAATATATGAAGCACCTTGAGGGCTTTTATGACCCATCGATGACTCAATTAGTATATTGGACTGTATTAAAATTTCAAGTGTATTTCTTTGAAAGACCCTGTTAAAAAATGAAAAGCCAAACCATCTAGTGAGAAAAAATATTTAAGAAACATATATCTGATAAAGGATTTGTATCCTTTGCAACTTAACAATAAAAATACAAACCGAAGATTGAACATATCCGAAAAGATATATGAATGACAAGGAAGCACATGAAATGATTCTCAACAGAATTGCTCATTAGAGATATACAGCCAGGCATTGCAGCTCATGCCTGTAATTCCAATACTTTGGGAGGCTGAGGTGAGTGAATCACATGAGGCCAGGAGTTCAAGACCAGCCTGGCCAACATGGCAAAATCTCAACTTTACTAAAAATACAAAAATTAGCTAGGCATGACTGTGCATGCCTGTAATTTCAGCTACTTCAGAGACTGAGGCATAAGAACCACTTGAGCCTTGGAGGCAGAGGTTCAAGGGGGCTGAGATTGTACCACTGCACTCTAGCTTGGGAAACAGAGTGTGACTCTGTCCTACCCTCCGACCAAAAAAAAAGAAATATGCAAATTAAAACCACTGTGAGATATTACTGTACATTCAATAAAATGGTTAAAATGTAAAAGATTGGCAATATCAAGTTTTGGAAAGGATATAGAGAAACTGGAATTTTCATTAATTGCAGGATGGATAAAACTACCATGGACTACTCCATGTCCATCAATTGGCAAATGAATAAGCAAACGGAATGAATATTCATGATTATTGATACATGGAACAACATAAGTTCCAACATAAGTTCAAAAGAAGCATTATGCTAAGTTAAAAAAGCCAGACATGAAACACTACATAATGTATGCTATCGCTTAGGTAAAAATTTAGAAAAGACACATCTAAACTGAAGTGAAACATATCAGTCAATGTTAGAGGGGGAGAGTAGAAGGAAGAGACTGATTGCAAAGGGGCATGTAGGAACTTCTCGGAGTGATAGAATTTTCTATATTTTGATTATGGAGATGTTTACCTAAGTATATATATTTATCAGAACTCATCAAATTGTGCCCTTAAAATTGGTGAATTTTACTCTATGTTAACTATATCTCAGTAAAGTTGATTTTTTTCAATGTCAATTACCTGGAAAAATTTGTGATTTTTCATTAAATCAGGGATATGTTTGTGATTTGTCATTAAATCAATAACCACAAACAATAATAATAATGATAAATCTATGAATTCTATAAAAACCCTATTTAGAATTTTATTTCTATAAAGATTTTTATTTAGAACTTTATTTGATGTTCTTGAAATGCCATGTGTGTTATTTTGTCTTGCTCAGTCCTTTGGTATCTGCAGGAACAGAAAAACTTAGTGTCCTTTTTAGGTACATTTATTTAAATTATTGGTTTTCTTCTGAAGCACTGAAAATCTAAACAGACTCCTAAAATATTCTATGCTGTGAACATCAAGCACAAGAGAAACTATAAAGACCCAGTGTACATACAAAGAGCATGTACAGAAGCCTCCTTCTTCGGAGAAGAGAAGCCCCTGGGATCCATATAGCTGATTTAGCAAAGCAACATAAAATTTTGTCTGTTGCCATATTTCATAAAATAGTCAAACAAAATCATAGGCTAATAAGTAATCCTGTTATCAAACTCTTATCTGTTTATCAGCACAAAATCATAAATTCTCAGGTCATGCCACTAGAAGAAATTCAGTCATACCAACTAGCCTCCTTTTGGCCAAACTCTACCCCTTCACTATCCCAGACTGTAAAAACCTAATTAGGGCCACAGAAGAGATCCCACAGATTAAACATAGATTAGGAGCCCCGAGAACCAATAGTTACTACCCACTGATACCTGGAGAGAGAGTGTCCTGCATTTCCCTCCATGCCATGTACTGGATAGGACCTTTGTACTGGCCCAGGTTCAGATTTCTGGAAATAAGCTCTCTTGTTGCCAGCAATGTCATTCCTTGCTTCAAGCTGCAGGGGACATAAATCATTTATCCTTAGACATCCTCCAGAGACTCAAGGAAGGATATTAAGAGTACCATAGGGAAACACTTACCTATCTAAGAGAGGTACGATGTCCTAGAAGAAAGGAGAAAGAGAGACATGATCTGCCTGTTCATCAGTTCCCGAAATTTCTTTGGTAATGCTAGCCACCACCAGAATTTGTGCAGATGGTCCCCAACTTATCTCTCCCAACTTCTTATTCTTCATACACTTTTTCTAATCTTCATCCCTGATCCTAACCCAGGTTAAACTGGTCTTTTGCTCTTTCTAGAGTTCCCTTCTACAGGGAGCAAGACAGAAGCCAATAATATAACACTTAAGGTTAAGCTATCTTTACCTATACTTTCAAATAGTCTCAGAGGAAAAACACAGTAAGTATTCCAGTCCCAAGGCCACTTTTCCTTACTCTAGCGAATTAAACTTCTGAATGCTGAGATGGTAACCAATGTCTCTTTAGAGGTGAAGCTTAAGAAAGCAAAGGTTAGAAAACAGCTTTTCAGACAAGTCAACTTATGATTACTGAGAGCCAGAGATACAATTCATGCTGCAACATTTCTATTTTTGAGAAATAAAGTGTCAGGCTCTTTATGGAAAAATATTAAACTATTAATATATACTATTATTAATGGAATTTTAAAATCTTATTTCGTAGAGGATAAAAGTAAAGCTTTTGCTGTGCATATAGCTGAAGTACCCTCCTGCTTTTCTTCCAGAGAATCTTAGAAGCACTAGAAGCACTATAGCAATTTTGTTTTGTTTTGTTTTGTTTTCCCTGACTGTGAAAAGCCACTTCTGCATTCTTTCCAAACCTCTTCCCCTCTCTAGGTAGGAAGGTACCCATAATCATATTGGTATGGATTCTCACTTTGAGAAAGTTGAAGGAGTTCTGTTGTTCCATCTTTGCCTGAACGCTCATCAACATATCCTTGGCTAGGACACATTGCTCCTGAAGGTGGCTCAGATTCAGCTCCATCTCCTCATTCAAGGCTTTACCCTCTTCCTGGAGTTCAGTTAAAATATCCTCTTCTTTGCTGTCTAGGAACTGATGCAGCTTTAGAAACTCCGTGGACACATGTTGCTGCAGATATAGCTTGTTTTCCTGGAAACCTCCATGATTGTTACCATGGTTATTACAGAGACTAGTGCTTGGGGATGGGGAACCCACACCACCAACACTCACACACTTGGGAAATACCATTACAGAAAAAATGCATACAACTGTCTACTGATAATCAAATTCAACCATATTAAAATGAGTCCTTTGGGAGACTTACTCCTTCTTTTCCAATTAATTTAATAGTTCAGGATGAAATAGTCAAAAGTGCCCTCTAGGTTCCTATTGCAGTACTGAGATGGTAACAAGGGCCATATTAAATAAGACCGTGGAGTTAATCAAACATTCTAGAATGGATGATAATAGCCTCCTAGATTGGTAAACCAATAGCTGCCAAGTGGTACTATTAGACTGGGGTCATTGGGAGTCTGGAAGAACCATCCTTACCTAGAAATCAGAACTGGGGGAATGCCACTCCTGCTACAAGGACAATATAAAAGAAGCAGGAGATAACATTTGAAGTGCTGAAATTGATAACTGTAACACTTGTAGCTTTTTTCTTGGGTGACCTCAACATCCTCACAGGTAAACCATTTGGTGTCCTGGCTTCTCAGTTCCTCATTCTCCCCATTTCTAGTGATTTTCACCTTTATTGATTCATTCCCATAGTCTCACCAAGGATTTTATCACCCCCGGCAATTGCATCATCTACAAAATAACTTTTTATGCACCAAGCTCACTCAGATACCCCTATTTCAACAATTATTGGATCTCATTGAAACCTCCTATTCACCAACCCTTCCATTTCTATTCAGGAACTTCTACCTTCATGTCCTCTCTTATCTAGCTTGGATTCCATGGTCCATAACTATTATTGCACCCTTAAGTTAGTCTTGGCTGGGCTCATACCTGTAATTCCAACACTTTGGGAAGCCAAGCTGGGAGGATCACTCAAACAGGAGTTCAAAACTGGGCACCGTACTGAGACCCAATCTCTCCAAAAATAAAATAATTAGCCAGATATGGCACACTAGTCCCAGACACTCAGAAGGCTGAGGTGGGAAGATCTCTCGAGCCCAAGAGTTTGAGGTTACAGTGAGCCCATATCCACCTCTTCACTATCATCTTGCTTAGCATGTTCCAGCTTTATTGGCCTTTTCTCTATTTAACATAGCAGCTAACTTTCTGTCTCAGGACTTTTCCATATGCTCTTTTCTATTCCTAGAACATCCTTCTCCAGGTCACCTTCTTCATATTCTCACTCACCCTGTTCACTTCGCTAAGTTACTTATCATTCAATTCTCAATTTTAGTAAGTGACTTCTTCAGAAAACACCCATCTTCCAATCTAGACTATGTTCTCCATTTATACGCTATCATTATACCCTATACTTTCATTATAGCACTTATCACAGTTGTTATTTTCTTTACACTGGTGAGTTTAATTAACACCTGTCTCCCAACCCCAGTATCTAGATTTATGCTTGACCCACTCAATAAATAGTTGTTGAATGAATGAATGAATGTTGACACTAATAGGAACTTTTACAACAGGAACAAGATTCTCTAAAGACATTATTACTTCCACATATCTTTCTTCTTTCCCTGGAGTCTACTTATTTCGTCTTCCAAATGGTAAATACCTGAAAAGGCTCTTCTCCATAGAATAATTAATACAGAAACAGAACTTCCAATTTAGCACCCCCAACTTAGGAGCTATTTGCCAAATCTGTAGCCATTAGTGTTGTCCTAGAGTGCCTATGAAATTGAAAGTGCAGACAATAGCTTTATTTAGTTTGGAGGAAGCTTAGAAGGATCAAATCAGATGGAAAAAGCTTACAACCATAGAGACACAGGTCTAGAGATTTCTGGTTATAAACTCAAAGGAATGAAGGGTATTTCTTTGGACATAGCAATCTTTAGTGATTTTTTTCTGATAAATTCCTTCTTTTGCCATAGATAAAGCCAAAAACCAGACAGATTTCAACCCCACAACAGTCACCTGGTAAATGAACCATCAAAAAGATCAGCATATTAGGGGAAAGATTAATCTGCTCTGTTGAGCAGCTATTAGGAACCTACTGCACCACCATATTCCTTTCCACCCTGCAGTCTCAGTTTTCCAGTTCTACAGCCCAGGTGCCATTTAGTATGTGGATAACTTATGTTAGGCACCTTTGTATCCATAGCTAAAGTTACATGAAGGGTGTGTTCCAGTTCTATCTCATAACCCCTCTATCTTGCTCCTCACCTTATAAGCAGCAATAGCTTCCTTCTGCTTCTTCCTCAGGGACTGAAGCTCCTTCAGAGTTGCCTCCAGTTGACTCTGTTGGGTGGCAAGCTCCTCCTGAGAATACCAAATAGAATTAGCCCAGACTGACTCAGGAGATAAAGGATGATAAAGGACATCTTCCCCAAGGCCCCAGTGTACAAGAAAAAAGCAAGCTCTTTATGCAAAATCTTCCTTTTCCTCTGTACCATAGTTCTTGTCTCCTTCAAAAATTGTGAAGAAGAAAAGAAAAACAAGGTCAGGTGCAGTAGCCCACATCTGTAATCTCAGCACTTTGGGAGACTGAAATGGGAGGATCACCTGGGCCCAGGAGTTTGAAACCAACCTGGGCAACATACTGAGACCCCATCTCAAAAAAAAAAGAATCCTGGGGAAAATTACATCCTAAAACTTAGTTTTGCTCTCTTAGTAGCTAGCTACAGGTGTTTGAAGAAGGGAATAGAACTCTAAACATTTTCCACTCTAGTTATACACTGTTCTCAGCATCTATAATTTTACTTGTGTTGTTCTCACTTAGAACACTTGATTCTTCCCTCTGTCCTTCCAAATCCAAATGATTTCCCAGCTCTAGTCCTTTCCCTTTCTTTCACTATATTTCCCCCAACTATTTCATCTTTCACTAATCTTCTCAGAAATTCTAAACCCTTAAGAATTACAAATGTGACAAAATTTAACTTTTAATAATAATCTTATATTGCTTCTATTGTTTTCTTCATTTTAAGCTTAATCCGATTTTGAAATTTTGATAACAAGAGCAGTATCTTATATATCCGCATTCTGCACAGTGTTTAGCAGAGTGCTACCACGGCAGAGTTTTGATACAGATTTGATTGAGGGAGTAAGCCAGAGCTCCTCCATTGTTCTTTTCCTATAAGCAGCAACTCTGGAAAAAGAACTTTGCAAGATACATTGCACTTTCTGAGCAATCTGGGCTTTCTAATCATCACTTGAATAAAGTTATGGGGTTGGAAGAACGAACAAGCCCTATAAAATATTTTTCCTAGTTTTTCTAAGGGATTGTTCAAGGCCCAGAGCTCACCCACCGTGAAGAAACGGACAGCATCAGAGATTTGCAGGAACTCCGTAGACTGCCCCACAGACAACCGAGCATCCTTGCATTGAAAGCAGATCAGTCTCCCATCTGGTTTACTGAACAATTTCAGGTTCTCTCCATGCTCTGGGCACTGCGGATGGCCCTTGAGTAGGGGTAAGTTCTTAATCTTGTCTGCCAACCTGTCCAGTACAAGGTTGAATGTACAGTTGCTATACTGACATAGCATCTTACACACAGGACAGAATGTTTCCTTTGCTTGCAGCCTCCAAAAGTTTTGGATACAGGCTTGACAGAAGTTGTGGCCACAGCTTAGCATCAGTGGGTCACAAAACCAATCATTGCACAGTGGGCAGTGTAGCTCCATAGTAATATCTTCTATCACTACTTTAGAGGGTAGGTGGATGATTGAATCATTTGTTTCAATATAGTTGACTGGGTCAATGTTGGAGGAGGAGCTGGAGGATACCTTTAGAAAAGAACAGCTAAAATGAGTTTCTCTTTCTTGTTGCCCATTTTAACACTCTAGGATCATGGGCTCCATTCCTAAAGGAGTTGACAGTTGGTGCAACTAGAGTAAAAGCACATAATCTCTCCTTTGGAAGTGAACCAGTAAATTGAGTGTTTTCTGACATTATAGCGTATGATGCTATTTAAACTTTAATATAGAATCAAGGCAGAGGAAGAAACAGTACTAAACCAAAGAAATGTACTTTGTGGTACATCTCTCTACTCACTTTCCCCATATATCAGATGAAAGTTTTATTTTCAACTTCTGCTCTGCTAGTTATTACCTTTATTTTATTTTTGTTTTCTAGAAATTATGTACAAAGAATTGGAAAATAAATCAGATTCCTCAGTCAGTAGTACGATATCATCAACCATCCAGGCTCCCCTTCACTCCTTTATTATAAACACATTTCAGAAATATAAATACAGGAGTTGGGCACAGTGGGTCACACCTGTAGTCCCAGCTACTCAGGAGGCTGAGACAAGAGAATCGCTTGAACCCGGGAGGCAGAGGTTGCAGTGAGCCGATACGGTGCCACTGCACTCCCACCTGGGTGACACAGCAAGACTCGGTCTCAAAAATTAAAAAACAAAAAATTCCCATGTATATCTTGTGGTCAAGAAGCACATAATCATGACCAGGTATATAGATACATACTCAAACAGGTCTGAGAAGACCCTAAGCTTTTACCTCTGGCTGACCTTCAGGCTCCATGTGAGCAGGACTTAATAGCTAAGACAGAGCTATAAACAGCCTAGCTAAGTATTAAAGGAGCATCACAACACAGAGACAGATGGCAAAGACTGAAATAGTACTTTTTCTTTTTTTCTTTTTGGCTCCAGGAATTTGAGGAAACTGTCAAAACACAAGCTGACCACTGAGCTAACGAAACATGGGTTTCAGTGACTGCACATAAAAAGGATAACAGACTTTACAAAAATAGTTTCAGAAAAGTCACTAAGCAAGCGGCCATGCACAGTGGCTCATGCTTGTAATCCCAGCACTTTGGGAGGCCGAGATGGGTAGATCATGAGGTCAGATCAAGACTATCCTGGCTAACACATGAAACCCCATCTCTACTAAAAATACAAAAAATTAGCCAGACATGGTGGCATGCACCTATAGTCCCAGTTACTCGGGAGACTAAGGCAGGAGAATCACTGGAACCCAGGAAGCAGAGGTTGCAGTGCACCACTGCACTCCAGCCTGGGCAACAGAGTGAGACTCTGTCTCAACAAAAAGAAAAGTCACTAAGCAAGCAAGCAATCCACAACCAGCAGCAACAACTAAACTAACCCCAGGTGTGGGGACAATCTGATTTCCAGAGTTGCCACATTATGATATTCAAAATGTTCAGTTTTCAACAAATGAGGCATGCAAAGAAGCAAGAAAGTATGGCCTATTCATAGTGGGAAAAAAAATGAATAGAAATTTTCCCTAAGGAAGTCTAAACAATGGCCCTACTAGAAAAGGACTGTAAATCAACTAACTTAAATATGCTCAAAGAGCTAAAGGAATATCTTACCAAATAGAGACTACCAATAAAGGGATAGAAATTATGAAAAGGAATCAAATAGAAAATATAGAGCTGAGTCGGGTGTGGTGGCTCACACTTATAATCCCAGCACTGTGGGAGGCTGAGGCAGGAGGATCACTTGAGCCAAGGAGTTTGAGACCAGCCAGACCTATTTCCATCTGTTATACATCCCCTTGAGAAATGGAGTTTCTAGAACTGCTCTTTTCTTCATTCCTAACCCTGCCCATTCTATGTTAGGATTTACCTCTCCTTATGGGCTTAGTTTCTCTTATATTCAGATTTATTCTAGCCAGGGGAATGTGGCTGAACATTCTTTGCCTCATCATCAAATTCCATTCTCATTAATAACTATTTATAATATCCTCATTCCATATATAAATTCTCACTTTTGTTGTCAAAATGTTTTGTTTGAGTCCCTAGCCCTTTGCTCCATAATTTTCCACATAGCCTGTGTTCCCTCTTGCTGATGCCTGACCTCCCCAAACCCTGGTCTTGCCTATCTGGACCTTATATGGCCATCTTCTCTTTGAATGCTGCCTTTCAACCATTCTCTGTAGTCTCTTTTTCGAAACTCCTATCAGACAGATGTTGAAGCTTTTGAAGCTTCTCACTCCAGTCTTTAT